CCAGAAAGGAGGACACATTGAACATTTCCTGAATAAATAAAGGTTAGTTGAGGTGAAACAATCATTTTCCCATCATTTTTCTACTTTTTTGGGGGATATGATTTTTTCAATTGGGCATGACAGCCATGGCACCCATGGACATAAAACCATACATCTTTGGAAAGTGCTTGGATTGAACTTTCATTTGGTTTTGTTTTGAACCTGCTAGCTTCAATAGTTCCTGTTCTAGACCAGTTTAAAAAATGGACCGGTTTTTTTTGCGCCACCCTGTATATAGGGGGTATCTGAGCCGTCTCCTTCGCTTGCCTTCCTGCAACGATTCCCTAAAAGTTCTCGCTCTTTCCTTCAGGGTGTCTCAGAATTGACTGAACACGGGGGGTTTCGTATCCGTGCCGCTCTGACCTAGACCTCTGCTACCTTAGCTTAACGCGCTGAGCCTACAAGAATATGTCTTTCTAGACCATAGGTTAAACGGAAGGATACGGAAAGCGTCAACGCTCAGTCAATCCTGAGAAACACTCTACAGTGAATCGCGCATTGAGGAAAAATGGGCGAAAGCGGCGGAAATCTTGTATTGTTCGGAGATGTAGCCATACTTGGGGTAATTCGAGGAATAGGGTCCCACCCATAACTTTCCAGAGTTCCGAAAGATCTTGACTCTAGGAGAAAATGACTTGATTCTTGCGCTGGCGCAGTTTTGATGGCTCGATCAAGGATTTTCATTTGTTCTGACCACTTCGACCGTGATGATTTTCTGCCATCTCAAACTACTAAGGTTCTTCGGAATCTTAAAAAGGCGCACTTCCATCTAGGTATCTCACGTATGAAACCAGGGACATGGGAGAGATCAATGTAGGCATTCGGAGTCAAAATCCCGCTGAACCACAAGAACAGCGGGAGTGTAGTAATGACCTGCAGCAAGCTGTCATACCATGTCAAACCTGTCCAAAGCTCAGGAAAAAATTGCGAGCAAAAATCAGCCAAATTACAAAACTGAGATCGATGGATCGTATCCAATCCGAGAAATCCAAGTTGAAAAAAGAAATGAAGACTCTCAGGAAAAGGTTGGTGGATGACGCATCAAAGTCACGAACCAAATATCAATATCTTTCTAATGAGATCATCTCTGGTCATTTCTGCCCTGCTCAAATTCATTTTCTGAAGGGAGTGAAAAGGCCCAAAGAATGGGAATCAAAGGTGTTGAGACAGGCTGTATGCCTCAGAGCCTTGTCCCCAAAAGCATACAAATACGTAAAAGAACATCTGCGTTACCCACTCCCAGCTTTGTCCACTCTGGCAGCCTGGTTCAGCAAAATCATAAAGTGTTTTCCAGGAATCCAAGCAGAAGTCCTGAAATTGATGGAACATCGAGGCCGTAGCATGGACGAACTCCATAGAATGTGCGCCTTAAGTTTTGACGAGATGAAAATCGACTCCAGATGGTGACAAGCAGATTCAAAATCAAGACTGCCTAGAAAACTTCTTCAGACAACTCAGGGCTCTCGGACGAACTTGTGTCAATCCAAGTCCATTCTCGGCACGACATAGATTCCGGTCATTGCTCTTAACAGGTGGAAGGAATATAGTCTGTATTGAGGGGGCCAATGTACTTGAAGTGAAAGATGATGACTTCCTTAATGAGGGGGCTGTTCAACATGACGCTGAGACAATTCCGGATTCTCGTGATTCAGAAGGAAACCTGTTGGACATTTCCTACGACTTCCTCCATACAGAAGCAACTCTTTCAAATGACACCCAAGAAGAGGAGGATGAAACTGATCTGCTCGATTCCGTTGAAGCAGATGTCATTGCCGATGATGACGTGAACAATGAAGCTTTGCAAAAGTTGCAGGCTTCATTGCTCTTAAGCTAAAGAAAAGCCATCTAGAGCTTGGTAGTACGAGTGAGCCTGTTTCTTGCGCTTGGCTGGATAAAATCTGTAAGGGGAGACTCACTCAACCCAGTTCTTCTTGGCTAGAAGCAGTACAGAAACTGGAGGAGTTCAAAGCCTGGCACGGGGAAACTTTCAGAAGAGGGGGTATTTGATTTCAGATTTGGTGCTCCACATAAAAAAATACTTATCCCGAAATCCCCGAAGATGCAGTGCCTCTTTTCGTTCGCACTAGAACTTTTTTCAGAATCTGAGGTCTGAATGCTGTAAGAAAGCGGACAGAGGACGAAGGAAGCGGGCAAAACTGTGCATCTTGCAGAGCTGAGACGCTTTTGCAAGGGTATCGAGTTCTTTTAGAGCTCCTGTTATCCAGGCCAACTTTATTCTAGGCGAGTAAAGGGTCACAAATCAGACAATTTTTCTTCGTTAGCTTCTTTGAAATTGTATGCATGCCTGTATGTCGTGAGATGAGATGAAACAAAAAATGTGCATTTTTAATCCATGGGTTCCACAGGGAACTACAGTTTCTCTTCTCAAGCGATTCCCTTACCATTCATACAGGGGAATATGTCTGGCAGCGAAGAACACGCGGATATGGAAGTGGGGTCTGTACAATGATACCCTACTCAGAGGCTTATCATGCCGTCACCTCAGCCTTGTCTGATTCTGTATTTTTATATTTCACCAAGAACATGAATTAAGGTTTGAAATTATGCCCAAAAAAAGAGAACAAGAGCGGTTATGAGGAGAGGCGACAGGGGTTCAGCCGCACGCTCCTTCACGCACTTTCACATGCCGCTCAGGTATCTGATACCCCTCCGAGCTGCCAGGCACGTGAGCACTCTGGAGGGCCGGCCTTGGATGAAAGTGGTTGCCACGGCGCACAAACGTTCTTCACAAGGTCATCCTAATATATCTTGAAGTCGAGGCGAGGCGAAGAGAGAAAAGGACACGATCTGTGTTTTGCCTGCGTCGATTGGAGTAGCGATGGGTTTCGCAAGAGCCGTAAGTGAGAAAGAAAAAACAACACGACGAGAACGAGGTTAAGAAAAGATAAAGAGAGAGAGAGAGAGAGAGAAAAAAAAGGTACACATGAGAATTAACCGCGATGATCTTGTGTTATTAATCTCGCTATGGGCATGTTGCAAAGTAAATAAAAATTCTCCTTCCGTTCCGTTCCGTGCAGTTTTCACGAGGCGAACCCGATAACAATAAAAAATGAGAGTATTTCCATTATTTATGGAATCGTTAAAGGGGCGCAGTACCCTTTGATTTAGGCTGGCTGGAAGAAAACGCTCTCGGATTCCTAAATGCTTTGTCCCATATCATTGTCATCCACTCATTGATCTGCTTCTAATGATGGTACTTATAAGTACCGCACCATGTACTAACTAATACTTGATCTCAGTATCTCAAAAACGGCAAGATTGATTCCAATATTCCAAGGTTATGCGGAGGAGGTCGCTAGTGTTACGGATTTGCAAGCGGATGTAAAAAAATTTGGCGCGTTTTCATGATATTTGAGCCAAAAGTCGGGGCCAGAAGTCCATTATAATGGTTTGCTTACACCTCCAAAAAATAGATGGCAGAACTGTTTCGCATGAAAAAGGGGCAGCATAAAGAGAGCTCCACCTTCCTTGACCCTTACTGGCCGGTATTCCAGAATTTCTTTAACCTTAGGGGACGTCCCCCGGAGAAAGGTTCAGAGGCCTACTTTCCACCCCTTTCCCTCTAAAAAAAAAAAAAGAAGGGAAGGCCACGCAAAGTAATTATGAGATATGGATCCATTTGCGTGGATGCCTCACAACTCTTACACAGGTAAGATAACCGCAGAAGATGATTACACTTTCTCATGTCCTTTTTCGGATAATTATCATGCCTATTTGGCTTCATGGTAGACACGAAGGCAAATCTTGGCAGTGAAGAAAATAGTTTATACGAGGGACACCCCGGAAGTTCTAACCAAATGGCATTAAATATCCTGTGATAATAAAAAAATATATTGGAAGTTTTCTTGGGATTCAATGAGATTCAGTGATTTTATGTGAAAATGTTTGCCAACATGGCGACGAATTGCCTAAGTTCAAAAGAGGTCACCCCCAGGACATATGAATGACGCAGAGAGATCTGCAAGTGCTGATTTGGAATGGTTTCTGAAGGCGGCTAACTGTGAAACACCGTTTTGAAGAGATGAAATCATCCTAGCGCGGTCTCGCCGCCACAACACACATTTTGAAACTTATATATTCAATTTCTGCAGCTTTTTTGCAGAAATTTACTCGAACCATTTCTTTGCACTCAGTGGAAGGGAAACCCAACATGAACAAAGTTTCTACCCAAAAAAAATTTTAAACGAAAATTTTTTCAATGCCTCCGGGGTGGTGACTTTTTTTGGGCCTTATGCTACGAACATTTTGTTTTCCTCACACCATTTTGTTATAGAAAAATAATAATAGAAAAAAATCACTTCATCCTTTTGATTCTCGGAAGAATAATGCCAAAAAATGTAATTAGGTTGAGACTAAGGAGTGTCATTAGACATGAGATTTTTGCAGTGCTTCTCTTATGCTCTGTTGTCTTCCTCGAATAAATTTCGAAAACCAGTTCCAAACCCTGACGCCAACTTAGATATCAGGACGACAGAACTCAAAAACAGGTCCAAATGACATACGACTGCGTTGAAGTACAAGGAATGAACTGATAGAGATAGAGAAAAATAAGATGCTGTTAATATGCTCTCTCTTCTGACTTTACGATGGACCTAGAAGCAAATGGCCTGTGGCTGTGAAGAGTATGGAATATACATTCTATTTCTCTCCTAGCTAAAGCTTTGAAAAGATCCAAAATTCACCATAAAACAAGGTTTTTGTCTACTCCTGTTGTTTCATGTCATGTTCCATTCTGAAGGAATTCACTTCACCTTTGATTTCAGGATCTCTTATTTCACTATTTAATAAATATTTATAATTTATGATTGTTTTGATGGAAAAACATATGAATATCGGTACTTTTCCCTTTTTTTCTCGCAACTCGCGGCGACAGAGTGAATGAGAAATAGCTCATAAAATTATAAAATAAAAATCCTGAGACGTGAGACACAGACCTCGTAGAAGGCGAGGTAACCCTTTTCCTTGGTGTACTTGCCAGCTTCCCCGGGGCCCTGCGCGGGTGATCCGAGGGTGTTCGCCGTGGGGTTCACCAGAGTGTAACTCCTTCCGTACGTGGGGATTCCCACGACCAACTTATCTCGATCCGCACCCTTCTCCAAGTAATATTTCACCGTGTAGTTCTGAAAGATCCAACAAACATGTGACGAATCCATCTGCACATTTTTTATGCATAACAGAATATCGTGATCTTGTAAAGAATACAATTTGGTTAAATCAACAAAATAATCTAGGAGTTCGTGAAGCAATATTACATATTTCAACTTCCGAGATTTTTATTCACCCGACAGACATAATTTGAATTCAGCTGTTTTCCTGAACGCGATTCCTGACAGGAAAAGAAGATTGACTGCGAGAAGATAGAGGGAGAAGAAAAGGTTAGGGATGAAAGGTGAGTTCGTTTCTTCAAATGTCCCAAAGGCTTATCCACAGACAACACGGGACACCCCGGAGAGGAAACAGTCAGTAGAAAAACCGAGAAATCATTGCGTCATCAAATACATGGAGAGCAAAGGGGGATTAAAATCTGAATCATTCTCTCTTGGTAGAACGAATATGAAGTGAATATGAATGAGAACGAAAAGAGGATATTTGGGACGAGCGACCCAGTATTGCGCTAAAACAAGGGAATCGACAGGAGAGATGAAGTGGAGACTGACATATCAATGAATGGAAAGGATGAACCTTTCCATCATTCTAGGAGTACGAGGGAAAAGTTGGATTCATCATTTTCTCCATCACATTCATCAAAATGTTCAAAGCTGTGACGACACGGAGGAAAACATTAATGCATAATTCTTTTACTAAACACTTTTCCTTTGAAGTTCCTACTCCGATTATACCTCAAAGTACCAAACATTTTCTATTCCTTACCTCTTACTTGACCGGATTTGTTCCTCTTTTTCCAGATTTGGATTCCATAAGGTACTTCCCCCCCTCCCCCCCAAAAAAAATAATAATAATAATAATAATAAAATAAAAAATAAATAAATAAAATAATAATAATAATAATAAAAATATTGAAGTAGGAAAAAGGAAGAGTAAACAGGAAATGAGGGAAAGGAAAACCGGCTTTGAAGGGGTTTTGACATTTGCAGCCACCGCCTCCAGGGGTTCTCACATTTCATAGTCCTCACCTCTTGTGAATCACAAAGGTTCTTTCCTAAGAGTAGATGACAGACTGACAGACATGTAATCCATCTTACTCGATTTAACTCCATCCAATAACTTGAATTTGACAGAATCTCGCTTCTCTCGATGCATTCTGATCCGAAACCCAAGGAGAGCCTTCGTTACAGTACTTTCAATCGTGCGTCCAGATTTTCGATGAATGAGTATCGACCAGAATTAGTTACAATCTCGCGTGCTCAGTGATTTACGGCTTAGGTCACTTATGCAACGCAACTGAGAGCGATAAAGCGTGAATGCGATAGCGTATTGAAGCGGGACCCCGTGCAACGTATGGCAGCTCATGATCCATTCGGGTCTTCAATCACGTTCGCCCCACGCTTCCCATCAACAATCCAGTTCTTTACTGCAACAGTCTGACATGTTGTAGCTCGAACTGCATTCCGCAACCTAGACCACAATCTCAAGGTTTCTATAGGGATCGGCCTTGAGTTTCTCTCGTGATGCCTGATATTTTCTCCAACTTGAATGTGGAATGAGGTTCTATCAATACTCCACAAATATTGCTCATTATCGAAGCATTGTAACATTATTAGCTTATCATCACTCTTAGATTCCTTTAGAATCATAACAAAAATCATATAGATAACTAAAGGTCAAATAAAGCTTTAAACGACGGTATTGATTATCATCTTATATTTTTAAATCCCTTGAAATTTATCGTGCGAATTTAAAAGGACATTTAATTTCGCTCTGTAAATGAGACACAGAGACAAATACAAGTTAAAATATTTTAACAAAGACTGGGACAAGTGACACCTGCCTCGGTTCCTTTGCACTTGAGAAATCACGTTATTTAAACCACGTTAAACACACCTTAAAACGCACGTTATTTAAACCAATTTACATAGGTAATATTAGGTTACTAGACAAATATAGAGGAGGGAGGAATAAAGAGTTGAGACTGACTACGGTGAGTTGGTACTTGAAGTCGGTTTTAGAGAGTCCTTTCCGTGGATAGAGGGGGGCGTGGTGGTTCACCGTAGACTCGTTTACGTTGTGGTAGTTGTATGTCAGCACGTTGAAGAATTCCAGGTACCTGGAGTGAGGGCCCGAGAGAAAATGAAAGTACTTAAAAGGATATCACAAAAAACTGGATCAATCTTGCAGAAACATTGGACAGGTCGCAGATCGTAGGTCATGCACAAAATAGGGTGCCTTACTAACTCCCCCCCCCCCCCCCCCCCCCCCCCCACACCCTCTCCTCCTTCCCTTCACTTACCACGTCCTGTATTCGATCACCTCGAGATATCGATGTGGCCATGGGCATCCTGTTTCAAAATTGTGTGGAACTTTGGTTTGGCTAATTTGGCGCATATCGTTATATCGCACAATATTGCAAAAACATCCTAGGACAAACTGTGCATGCCGCGCTGGAGAGAGTTTACATTCTCATTTTATGCCGCAGAGCATACTCAGCCGTTCACACGAACAGGTCATTGAGTTCAGAAGTCATTTCCGAATGAAGCCGTCATTCCCACGTTGTAGAAGGAAAAGACCTTCACTGTCCGGTTTCCCATAGTCAGGTTTCTCCTTCCCTTATTCCCCTGTCTGGACGTGGATTCCTTGAGGGCGAATGTTCATCCTCTGCTCTTCACATCCATGGAGGCTCTCGCCACAACAATCCTGGCTTACAGGCAAATAGGGAACATGAAAGGTGGATCCTTATGTAAATGCCCTTGGCGCGATGGGGCCCGTATCCTGCCCTCCAGCCGATGAGAGCCCTCCTCTCAATAAAGGTGGAAGGGCGGTCATCCCAGGCAATAACAGGCACACCTGTCCTTTCATGAGCGATCTCAATACCTTACCAGTTCGACCTCGCATCGAGATTAGTGATGGCATTTGGAGGGAGGCAACAGTAATAATTTTAAAATATCAGGAGGACAATTGTCTGACAAACTTTATTCAATTCATTAACGTAAATGCGAGCATGAAAAAGCAAGACCCCACAATGGTCTTCGATCTAAAAGACTTTTAAATGTTATTCTCAAGAACTGAATGTATATATTAATTACATGCACTCAAGGAATATAGAAAAATAGAGCGGAAGGGAATCGAGGACTGGATTAATCTCTTCTCTCTGTTAGGTTCTTGAAAAATATCACAGGACCATTCCTTTTTTTTTCAAGACTTTTGCTCTGCCGTAATAAGTAATCCTTTCATCGTAGAACAAGGATCTTTAAGAAGTGTCCGCTTGCGAGAATGGATCAAGCCTGAAGGATTCATACATGGCCTTTTGTCTGGCCGGCGGCCACATGGGTCAGCCAGGATCGCTGTACGCGATAGCCAGGATCGCTGTACGCGATTGCCTGGAGAGCTGCGGGTTTGTGCATGAGCGGTCGGCTTTCGTTTGCAATGCCTATTCCTCAAGTGTTCGGGACACGTTCGCCACCTGATTTTAGAAAATGTAACCAGCCTGTTATGATGGGACTCAATTGCGCAAAAGTTTTGCTCGTTTTGCGTGAAAACTTATCCAATTTAGGAGGAAGCACTTGATGCATTTGCTCATGGTGAAAGAATCTTTGGAAGGATCTCGTGGTTTTGCTATCGATCTTGAAGTTTTTGAGGTATAAATAGTAAGTACTGACTAGGCATTGATGATGTACTTGGCATTATACTCAACGGAAGGGGCTCCAAGACTGTAATTCATGGATATATTGTTTATAGGGTCGAGAGGGAACAGTTTTCAAGAGAGCGCTTTTCAGTTTTCAGGCTGGAAATCAAGGGTAGTGCTTACCCTTGATTACCTTCTGCTGTCTTTGGAAATCATGTCGAAAAGGCAAGAAGTGAAAATCCCAAGCGCTTCTCGTGCCTTTTAGAAAATGTAAGCTTCTGTATCTCAAGCCTTGGTTGATTGGGTCAGGTATTTGCCAAATATAGAGCGGGAGTAGGACCGATTGTGTAGAATCAGAGGAGGAATTTCCGCGCCTAATCTCGCGAAGTATCGCCCAAAGGAAATAATTCTCAGGCCCGTAGAGGGGGAAGGCAAAAGGGGCGACGTGGCCACAGTAGGCCCTCACTACGGCATTATACTGCGATCAAACTAGGGACGTCATTTCGAGGGGCAAGTGGGGCAACTACCTCTTGTGCTTTGATGCGATTTTTAAATAGCCTCCTCTATTCCCTGTTATGTAAGAGCATGAAAGTCTGCCTTTAAAGATCTCATGCAGCATGGTTTTCATGGCTCCTGTTTTGTATTTTTCTTTAAATCTCAGAGCATTCATGAACTCAAGAGATGCACTCTCGAAACTTGAAGTTAATCGACTCTTAACTCTGACTTTAACAGCTGCCTGAGCCGAGCGACTCTTCTCCACCAAAAGAGTAAACAAAAAAGGAGTCGAGTCGTTCTCCATTGGCCACTACACGGAGTAAATCGATTGACGAATTTGCAAAATGGAAAGAAAGTTCCTCACTCTCCCCTGTTGAAATCTAATCGATTTCCTGGGCGCTAAAACGGTTTGCCTGAAACAGAGAACTTCTGCGAATCTGCTTTACGCCTCTTGAACTCTCATTTGAGAGATTTTCTGCTGCTGAGTGCAACCATGGTTGTAAGTTTCATCTAATTAAATGCCATTCTTCTTGCGGCCAACTTTACATGACAACGCAAGGAGGATTTCTGGCGCCAATTTAATTTCGTGAAATCCTAAGAAAAAATTTATTTCGCGAATTTTAAATTTCACGCACTGGACCACTCCCAATGCTTATGTTGCTAGCCCATATGGGAAAAAATTCACAAGCGATTCAATTTCGCAATTTCGCGATTGTCTGTGCTTCGTAAAATTCGCGAAATTGATGCTGGCAATAACATTCCTAACTAACTGTTTTTCTTTTTCAAGTTGCAAAGCTCCTTTGCCCCCTTTGCAGTATTACCAAATGGCATCCTTGCGCCTAGCATTAATGTTCAATTGCATGGTGTTCATAAACAGTGATGAGTTGATTGAATGGGTTTAAAGCGGGAAGGGACAAGTAAGAATATGGCCCTCACATACATGTTTTCCCTCCTGGCCCCACAATTCCTTCTGGTGGCCCAGTGAATTATCCAAGTCCACAATGGTCAGCAATTGCTTAGCATACTGTCTACGTTTTTTTTGTCTAGACTTGGTTAAACCTAGACACATTCCCGGTACCAGTTGAAACGAGCTGGTACTCTCCTAACCTGGTCTTTGTCTGGACAGAGGAAAAGCGAAATATGGTAAGATTGCTTTGCTGCTCGCGTTCGTCTCTCCGTTCTATATATCTTTCCTTTTGTTAGTGAAATCCGCGCATACTTGTTCAGTAACAAGTATGTCTGATGATAACCTTGAAAAGGTTTTGTTAGGAAACAAAACCCTTCTCCCATGAGAGAATGAGGCGAGAGATAATCCTCCCATGATGTGTCATTGATGTGTCATTGCACTAAATACAGTGCAGCCTCCACGGACTAGTTTTAATGAACCCTGTCGATCAACCTTCTTTGACTACAATATCACAATCGATCCCAATTCCCATTGCTAGCAATGTTTCGTTCGAGAGCACCTTCGATTTGGTTAATTCATAGAAGAAGGGGGTTCAAGAAAAAAGTAAAAAATGAAAAACAAAAAAGGAAAGTGGGTTATTCTGAATAGTGTTTTTGACCCAGAATTGCAAAGGAAGTGTCGCGTGGAGGGTGCTGGGAATTCCTTCCCCTCCCCTATGGCCACTTCTCATCCTTGAAAACTCTCTTCCCCCTTGCAGGTGACCTGCTGAAACGCCGCCCATTTTTTTGGTAATAGGACAACGTCTCATTTCCAGGTATGTTCATTTCATTGTATGTGTTTAAAAAATAAGCCAGTGGGCATATGTTTTAAAAGTCTTTTCTTCTCATCACGTCACGTACATCATACATTGGTATCTTTCAGTCACGAAATTTTAGTGCCTTAATTGAACTTGAAAACATAACCTTGCATGGCATTGAGTTCTGAGGGTCATTCGAGTAAACCTCAAAGTTCACTTGCTACACGTTATTTATCTTTCCATAGTATCCA